GCTGGATAAGGGCAACCTTGCACGTTGCAGGTCTCCAGCAGATCCTGCCAGGAACATGCTCAAGTTGGCAATGCCAAGGGTATGGGAGGTACCTATGAGCTGGGCTGTGTTGGCACAAGGGAAGTGGTACTAAGCCCAGCGCGGGACACCGAGAGAAGGCACACGGGCTCTCTGGCTCACGCAGAGCATCCTTTGCCCTGCCAACCCTGGGACATCTCCCCATGCCTTCTCTCTGCTCGGAAGGGGAAAGCAACAAGGCAAAGATGATCCCTTTCTCCATAGCTGCAGGATGGCTCCTTGCGGTGCCTGGTCAGTACCTCTCTGTATCTGTCTATCTCCGGATGCTTTTGGTTTTTGCATCCTAAACAAGCCTTTTCTTCTTCCTCAGAGGAAACCTCTCAGCACAAGGCAGCCTCAATCCTAAATACATCTCTGAGTCACGGGCTGACCTTATGTCCAGCCACAAGAGGCAGAGACACGCTGCTGATCCGGGCTGACTGTTGCTCCATGAGCAGGGAGGATGCCTGCAGAGGCTGCCTCTCGGAAAGGAGCAGAGCTGGAGCATCTCTGCAGTTCAACACTTGGACAAGCCTTTTGTGGCCTTGGCCAGGCAGGCATCCCAGGCAGGCTGGGTGTTTGCTGAATAGGGTGAAGCTTCTGAGCTCATCTGATTTCTTGGCATCTCTGAGTGAGATATCAACTGGCCTGGGTCCAACTGTTACCAACTTCAGGAAGATACTCCCAAAAGGAGATGATATGAAGAGTTCTCACACTTGAAACTCATTTGTTTAACTTAACTAAAAGAAAGGCCAGACATTTCTGCGTTCTGCAAGACATCTGCTACAACTTCCCTGACCCACCTCTGTTGAGAATTTGTCAATTACTCAAATTTCCACACCTTCCCCCAGCAGGGAATCCCCTCCCCTCTCCTTCTGGCACTCTCTGCCAACCACTGTGGCTCTTCCAATGTCTTCTTGTCATTCCACCAATTATTCTTCCTCCTGCAATTATGATCATCATTTTTATTTAAGTAGGGCTTCCCCCCTCACCCCTGCTTTTCAAAGCTCCCTGGATTTGAGGTTTCCTTATTTGCCGTCTTGCAGGGTGGATCAACTGCAGCTGCTTAAATTATGGGTCTTCAATGTTGATCTATATGCTGTGGATGGAAAAACAAGGAAGGGCTTTCTGTCAGCTTTGTGTTAAATCGGTGACTTTTATTAAAAGGGAGCTTGTTGTGCAAGTGACTTGTCTAGATTCAAAGGCAGGAGAAAAGAAACATCAATCTCATGATGAAGCAAGAAGACAAACCTTGAACAAATGGTTTGGACAGCACCTCACCCCTTGAAACATTCTTTGACCAATCTTGGAAAAGGAAGGAAATATGCCATCGTTTGGGTTTTTTTTCCCCCACAGCAAGGCTGTTTTGAGGCTGTATGTGAGACTCGAGTCACATTTAGAGCTCTGCACGGCACTGCACAGCAATCAAGATGTGATATCAGGACGGAGATCTGCACCGAGACCTTGCAGAGGGCAGGAACTGTTGGGTTTGCTCCTGTTGTACCCATCTTGCTGTCCGTGTGGGTAGGGGGAGAAAGGTTTTGTGCATGGTTTCTACCACCTCAGTCCCAGAAAATTAAGTTTGGAGCTAGGTCCTCATTAAGGACCAGGCACAGTGCTAGAGCCAGGTTTCCATGGTGACCATAGGATGTTGCAGATGGGTTTGGTGCCTTTCTGGGGCTCCACAGCCCTGAGAAACACTGAGTCACAGGATGGAAGCATCTTTGAGCGCTGGTGAGGGAAGAGCATGTTTCCCAGCTCTTATCTCGCCCTTCAGCACCCCAGGGAGGGGAAAAGAGGTGAGATGTTCCTGCCTGGTGCCCCTGAATGTGGTGTGGAGAGACGCCACGTGAAATCCCCTAAGCTGCCCCACACTTGACAAAGGTCCTTCCTTGCATCCTTGGCTCGACCTCTAGATCCCTCCTGGAGCAGTCACCAGGATGGCAGCCTCCACCCACCAAAAAAACACCTTTTTTAGAAAGCAGTGATGGAACTCAGGATATAGGAGACTGGTAGTATGCTGGGAGTCTGATGGGGCCATGGCATTTTAGGCATAGTTGCCTCCATCCCCAAGGAGAGGTAGACGTGCACGGGCTGAGGAGGGATGATGGCATACAGAGGACCTGTCATGGGGGAGACAGGCCAGAGCACCGTTCTGGATAGCTTCATCTTATTTGCCTGCCTTGCAAAACAAATTACCAGACCTGTTCTTTGGAGAGCTGTACCTACCTTTGAAGCATCCTTGGCCTTCATTTTATCATCCCAAACAGCATTAAATGCTTGTTGGGGAGGCGTTTTATCAGGTGCATCTACTTGGAAAGGCTTGAAAGGTTCTTGTCATGCTTTTCTTCATGTGTGCTTTGAATTTATAGCTCCCCATTGCCTGGAGAAACCCACCAAGCTGGGAAAAGTATTAGAAAAGGAGCTGATGCCCCCATCCCCAGCAGAGCTGATTTTAATGTAGCTGTTACACCTACGGCACGGCTCTCTCCTGCCAAGGTGCCTGCAGTCGAACTGGGCACTGACTCATCGGCAGGACTGGACACGCTGCTTTGTCAGAGCTGGTTCCCTGGTATGATAAATGCTGCTTAAGCTGCAGGAGCCCGGGAAAGCCAAATCAGCACAAGGGGTTAGTACTGGAGGCAGAATTTGGTTTTCTTGGCTTCCAGGCTCAAAGCTGATCAACCGACCCACGGTGCCTTGGGATGAATCTCACCGCTTCACTGTGCATCAGCTTCTCCATGCTCAAACCAAAACGATGGCTGGACCTGAGAGGGGACAGGGCTGTCACAGTCACCCCGGGTTTGCTCAGCATCAAACATCCTCAAAGCTCCCAAGCGTGGTTTGCTGCCTTCATCCTGGGTCAGCCGAGTGCAGCGAGATGCAGGAACAGCGATTGTTGCACCCCGTGTCCGGGACCGCAGCACAGGAACGGGGACACTCATTGCATTGTGTGGGAGCCAGCGGAAAGGTGACAGCCCTGGCTTTGGCCACGGTGGGGTTTCCAAGCCAGCTGTGTGCATCACAGAGCTGTGCGGCCAGTCCTCTGCCAGCAGGGCTGTGCCCGTGGAGGAGCAGAAAGCCTTGGGCAAAGATGCTTCGCTGGTATAAAGGCTGGAAAAGGACTTGGCTCTGAAACCACAGCAGCCTGCCACTTCCCGCTGTCCGAGAGGCATTGCATCAAGTCATCTCCACGCACAAGAAAAGCTGAATGCTGTTGACAGCGAGCCACGCAGACTCCCCACAGATGCTGCAAGCCAAGCTGGCTTTCTCACCATCTCCCACGGCCCCCCCAGTTGCAAGCGTGAAACCAAGCTGGTGAATAATTCTGCTGATGCACGGAAGAGAAAATCCTGTTCTCTCCTCCTGGGGCGGACTGGCAGGGCTAATGGGAGGAAGAGGCTGTGACAACTGGATTTTGTGGCTGGAGTCAGCAGATCTGGCTCCTGGGACACATGGGAACAGGCAGGGAGCCGGAGCCGCTTTTGCACAGTCACTTCTCGGAGGCGAGCAGGGCTTCAAAGGAAAAATCCTTAGCGTGATGTCGCAACTTGGGAGGAGGAGGAAAAAAACAAGCAAACAAAAAAAACCCACAAGCTCTGTAGGGCTGGGAAATGCAGAGTCAAGGAATGAAGTTTCCAAAAAGCCTTCGCTCGGTGCTCACAGCTCTCGGTGCAGGCGAGGCAGCAACGCGAGCTGATGCTGGCGATTCCCGAGGACGTTGAAGCTCGGTGTGGTCAGTGGGTGCACGTGCTGAGTTTGGCCTGTTCAATGCCAAAGGGATCCAAGGGGATCTCCCCGCTCCGCAGCGGGATGGGGCTCCATCAGTGGCAGGGGAGGGAGTCTCAGCTAGGCACGTGGAAGCAGAGGCACAGATAGAGGATCTGGGATTGTCCAACAGCCTGACCGAGCTGTGCGGGTCTGTCTTAAAACCCCTCTGGGATCCAGAGGCCGGAGCAGGAGGATGCACCTGGGAAATGGGTGAGCACGCACCCATGCAGGTGGCAGTGGGTTGGGTTACTGGGATGTGCAGGATGGACCATCGTGCCCACATACTCGGTGGGGAGATGCCAAGAGCTTGAGGGGTGCTTGCCCCAAAAGGGGCAGCTCCTCTTTCCCCCTAATGCCAACACTCAGGAGCAGCTCTGTCACTCCTTCTGCTGAGGATGGGTTGGTGGAAAGCAGAGCATATGGTCACATCCACGCAGAGCCAGTCTCTTCCAGGTCAGCAAAGACCTCATGGCAATGTTCATGAGCTGGGCAGGTGCCCAGTGTGTGCAGGCTCCTGACTCTCTTCTCCTCACTTCAAGCCCTGCTTGAATCCCAAGTGTCAGGAAACCTGGCAGCTCCCAGAGGCCATCCCTGCCTGCTGGGGGCCGGGGGAGCTAAAAGCAGGCTCCGGGAGGGAAGTGGTTTGGAGGGTGATGTTTGTCAGCGACGAGCACACAGCCACGCTGTGGGAGCTGTGTGGCAGCTGGAGCTGGCAGCCGAGCACCCGTCCTGCTTGTTTTGGCTGACTCTGGAGACCTCTGGCTTTTCCTAGTAGCACTTGGATGTGCCGGTACTCAGGAGACCTGACCGGGCACATTCAGACAGCGCCGAAAATATCTTCCTTGCAGGCAACAGAGGCAAAGGGGAGCAGCTGGACTCCCGGAGAGACGGGGGACTGGGCTGCAGAGGGATGGCTGTTGTGCTTGGGCTTGCTCTCTGCCAGCCAAAAACACATCCTGTGGAGCTGCCGCCACAGTGGCACATTTAAGGTGACCCTAGACGGGCACCAGGTCTCAGCTGTGGAGGGGATGAGAGGCTAGGTCTCCTTGCTTTC